GTTAGGGTTACAGACAGCAGTAGTGTTAGGGTTTATGACAGCATAAATGTAAGGGTTACAGATAACATAAGGGTTAGGGTTACAGACAGTATTAGGGTAAGGATTACAGTCTGCATTACTGTTAGGATTACAGACATCATTAGTGTTAGGGTTACAGACAGCATAAATGTAAGGGTTACAGATAACATTAGGGTTATGGTTACAGACAGCATTAGGGTTAGGGTAACAGCCAGCATTAGAGTTAGGGTTAGAGACAACATAAGTGTTAGAGATACAGACAACATTAGTTTGAGGTTGACAGACAGCATTATGATTAGGGTTACAGACTTCATTTTGGTGAGGATTTCACTCTGCGTTAGGGTTAGGATCACAGTCTGCATTAGGGTTAGGATTACAGACACCATTAGAGTTAAAGTTACGGATATCATTAGGGTGATGAGTACAGTCTGCATTAGGGTTAGGGTAACAGACATCATAAGTGTTAAGGTTACTGATACCATAAGTGTAAGGGTTACAGACAGCATTCAGAGTAGGGTAACGGACAACATAAGGGTTAGGGTTACAGACAGCATTAGGATTAGGGTTACCGACAGCATAAAAGTTTGGATTACAGACAGCATAAGGGTTAGTATTACAGACATCATTAGTGTTAGTATTACAGACAACATAAATGTAAAGGTTACAGACAACATTAGAGTTAGGTTAACAGACAGCATTACGGTTAGGGTTACAGACAGCATTAAATTTAGGATTACAGACAGCATTAGGAATAGGGTTACAGACAGCATTAGAGTTAGGGTTACAAACAGCATATGAGTTAAGGTTACATACAGCATTAAGGCTACGGTTACAGACAACATTAGTTTGAGGGTTACAGACAGCATTAGGGTTAGTTTTACAGACAGCATTTGGGTGAGGATTACACTCTGCGTTAAAGTTAGGATTACAGTCTGCATTAGTGTTAGGATTACAGTCTGCATTATGGTAAGGATTGCAGTCTGTATTAGGGTTAGGGTTTCGGGCACCATTAGGATTAGGATTAGGGTTACAAATAGACATTTGTGGAAACTAGGTCTATACCTAGGATTACACTTAGACTGACGATTACAGTTGACGAAAAACAAGGGGTGACCTGAAAATTAAAAAAAATATAGAGACTCATAGTAAAGGCATATATTTTTTTTGGTATTGTAAATAGGTCTTTTCGACGACATACTAATTCAGCGTATATGGTCACAACAGATTCGAATCGCTGTATTAGATGTCACCGAAAAACTTTTTTTTATTTTTTAATTCTCCGATGACGTGTTAAACCTTTACTCTATAATGTGGAATAAGTTTATTTAAATTTTCTACCCTTATCATACATTTTCTGGGGGTTTCGTAAAATATGTTGTTTTCCATAAAGTGTCAATGATGCGGAATGTCTGTTCGGATATATTTTGTCACCCACCTAAAACTGCAGATGCCATGCATATGGTCTCCCAAAAAAACAGGGCATTTCTCTTTATGTTATATTTAAAATTGTGTCTTCATTATTTTTGTATAAACAAATCAGCAAAAATTTCGTTCAGAGGGTAATCTACAAATGGTGCAGTTGAAAATCACGGGAAAAAAGCGATAAACAAGTTTCGAAATATAATCACTAAACCCAACGCAGCGCAGTGCTTTTGAAATACATTTGTATCAATGGCCTATGCTTTCGCGATTACACTTTTGTATCCGCCTTTGCTCCATAACCGAATGAAATAGTGCGTGATTTTTTTTAACAATTTCTTCTCGCCTGATTAACCTTTGCAACTTTGTTCTTTTGAGAATAAACTTTGTGTTGAAATGAACACCGTCAAATAAGTGCACTATATATTGAAATTGTACCGGTCTCGAATCATGTTTCGGGCAGATCAGAACCCACCCATATTCATCTACACCGTGAACAAAAACGTCCATACTCAAACAATTCACAAGATTTTTATAAAAATTGCACAAAAACAAACAACTAAAAACCTTGTTGTCATTTTTTCCTTCGTCGCAGAAGGCGAAAACAGGTTAAGTAACCGCTCAACTCTGTCCGTCCGTCTGTCCGTTCATTTCTTAAAAGACTTTTGGGTAGAAAACTTTCCTCAAAGTTTTCTTGGCTTTTTGAAGGTAACCATTTTATGCTTCGTTATAATTAGTAATTATAAGTTGCAGCGTGTAAGTAATTTCTACATCTGCTGCAGCCACCTCCTGTTTGGTGATATATATATAGTTTGACATTTTACAAAACTTCTACTGCAAGGAAAATTTTCGTCAAGGTTTTCTTTGGTATATGGAAGGGAATTATTATTTATGTTTTTGAATCAGTATAATCAATTACACGCAGCGACGCAGGTACAGTCGCGGTATTGGTCTTGTTTAATTATAAAAGATAGATATTAAAATTCCAATTTTTTGAGTTCACCTATTGCACTTTTTAACAGAGTCTGACGAATTGTTTACATTATATATTCGACACAAAGATATTGATTGATAACGGTGTTATGTTTTTCTCCAAAAGTTTCCCTAATTCAGAAAAAAAAAAAAGATAATAAAAATTTAACGAACGACAAGAACAATACCATGAAGAATACATATGTCTTAAACACCCAACCGCTGATCCCCCCATTCTCTTAAAAAAGGGAAAATGTATGTCTATACAAAAACATTAAATATCGTCAACATGCTTCTTAGACTAGTAACCCGAATTTGGCTTGAACGGCCAAAAAGGTATTAACGACATTTAAAAAAGATTGATTATCATTAGATAACGATTGACAAAAATTAAAGTTTTTTTTGATGCATTTCAATCCATATCAAATTATTTTAATACCAGTCAAATAGATTTCCTTGCGGTCATTCAAGTTAGTTTCAGATGTGGTTAAGCCTTGTCAAACTAATTAGCCACGCCCCCGTTAAACGAAATCAAACTGATGTTAAATCCTTTTAATCTTTAAAGTGTCCGCCTATTTGTAAGGTAAATCACTCAAGCAGAACAGCATCCCCGTTTAAGTATCGTTAATCCGTTCCTAACGTTATCGATTTTAGTCAGATAAGTACCTCCAACAAATATTCACAATTAAAAGAAATTAGACAACTTTCGAGTTCGATGCATTTCCGTCAAAAACTCTGGTTTCAGTGAACATCATTCGTGCGTTTAGGGGCATCGTCACTTCCGTTCCAATGTTGAGCGAGTGGTTGGAAAACTATAATGCTATATTGCACGAATTGTTTGGCAAATTAAATTCTCATAATTGAAAATCAGCACTGCTGTCATTAGGGAACTGTGATTAAGTACTTACAAAACAAACGTTATTTCTAGTTTATCCTGCACAATGACGATCACTAAGATGCTTGATGAACGTTAATAGTGCAAGGATACAGGCGATCCCGGTGACGGATGAACTCGAAAGTGGTCTACAAATACATTTGTAAACTATTAAGTAATTTATAGTTAATGATGCTAGATTTTTAAAATGCAGCGAAACAATATCAGTTAAAAATACAAATTAAAAAAGATAATTTGTACACATGCAGTAACTCTATAGATAAGAAAGATGGTTGATAAGTGATATGAAAACTAGCGTCATCTAAGTAATTTTGCAACAATATAAAACGAGAATGCTGGTTTAATCTAATTTTTATTTAATAATCAATAAAGGGACCAATGCACAAGGAACACAAAGTATTCATTGTTTACATCATTCCAATCGATATATATTATCTTTTAGGTTGAAAATATTTTTTTTCAATTACCGCAAAAAGACTATATCGCGGCGATTTATTAAATGGAAAACATTACGATCGTGAAAATGTTAAAATTTTAGAGTTTATTCCGCCATCAGTTTACATTTGTTGAAAGTTGATCTGTTACATATGCAAATAAGAAGATGTGTTACTTGTATGATTGCCATTGAGACAACTCTCCACCATGGAAGTTACTGAACAACTATAGGTCACCGTTAGGCCTTCAACAATTAGTAAAACCCATACCGTTAAAGTTTTTATATTTGTCAACAGTACTGGGCAAAAAGTTGGTTCACATGGGAAAAGGTCGAAAATATTAATAAAGAAATTTTAAAAGTGATGCTTGATTCTAAGAATTTGGTTTAGGGAATGTTTTTCCAAACAGGTCAGCATACCTCTTCGTTATGTGTCTGTTAAATGTTCAACCCACCATCTTTGTCGACCAATAAACCGAACTAGATTGACTTAAGAACCAAATTTTTGGTTTGATTTTTAGGCGAACTGAACATGCTAGATAAATGAAACTGCAGTTGTACGGAAACATCAATCTATATAAAGGAATCGTCAGATCAAAAGACCGAATCGCACATGTAATTTCGTCGGGAACATGCATAAAAATATTTGCCCCTGCACGTTAAGCAAATTTAAATTTTAAGGTTACAGACACCATTAGGGTTAGGATTAAAGACAGCATTAGTGTTAGAAATACAGTTTGTATTAGGGTTAGGATTACAGACTGGATTAGGGTTAGGAATACATTCATCAGTTGGGTTAGGGTTATAAGACACCATTTAGGTTAGAGTTAAAGACACCATTAGGGTTAGAGTTACAGTCTGAACAAGGGTTAGGGTAAGAGACAGCATTAGGATAAGGGTTTAAGACAGAATAATGGTTAGGATTACATATAGCATTAGTGTTAGGATTACATACAGCATTAAGGTAAGGATAACATACAGCATTAGGGTTAGGATTACATACTCCATTAGGGTTAGGATTACAGACACCGTTGGGGTTAGAATTAAAGACAGCATTAAGGATAGAAATACAGTCTGCATTAGGGTTAGGATTACAGACACCTTAAGGGTTGGGGTTACAGTCTGTATTACTGTTAGGATTACAGACAGCATTCGGGTAAGGGTTACAGACAGCATTTGGGTTTGAATAACCGACAGCATAAGGGTTATGGTTATAGTGTGCATTAGGGTTATGATTATAAACACCATAAGGGTAAAGATTACAGACAACATTAGAGCTAGGGTCACAGACATCATTAGAGTTAGGGTTACAGTCAGCATTTGGGTTAATGTTAGAGTCTGCATTAGGTTTAGGATTACAGACACCATTAGGATTAGGATTACAGACACCATTAGGATTAGGATTACAGACACGCTTGGTGTTAGCATTACAGACTCCATTAGGGTTAGGATTACAGATACCCTTAGGGTTACGATTACCTACATCATTAGGATTAGGATAACAGTCTTCTTTAGGATTAGGATTGCAGACAGTGTAAGAATTAGACAGCCTTAGGGAAAGGGTTACATACAACATTAGGTTTAGGGTTACAGACAACATTTAGGTTTAGGTTTACAGACAGCATTAGGGTTAGAATTACAGTCAGCATTAGGGTTAGGATAACAGGCACAATTAGGGGTAGGGTTACAGACAACATTAGGATAAGGGTTACAGACAGCATCATGGTAAGGACTACAGACACCCTTAGGGTTAGGGTTACAGACAGCATTCGGGTAGGGATTACAGACAAAATTTGTTTTGGATTACTGGCAGCATAAGGGGTAGGGTTTCAGAGAGCATTAGGTTTAAGGTTTCAGACAGCCTTAGGGTTAGCATTACAGACAGAAATATGTGTAGGATTACAGACAACATTATGGTTAGGGTAATAGTCTCTATTAGGGTTAGGATTACAGTCTGCATTATGGTTAGGATAACAGACAGCATTAGGCTTGGGGTAACAGACAACATTAGGGTTAGGGTTACAGACATAATTAGAATTATGATTACAAATAGCATTAGTGTTAGAATTAAAGTTTAGATAAAATTAGGATTAGGGTTTCAACCAGCTTTAGGATAATGGTTACATACACCATTAAGGTTAGGGTTACATACTGCATAAGGGTTATGGTAACAGACAGCCTAAGAGTTAGAATGACAGTCAGCGTAAGGGTTAGAATTAGAGATCCCATTAGGTTAAGGTTACAGACACTATTAGGGTTAATGTTACAGAAAGCATAAGGGTAAGGTTTACTGACAGCATTAGGGTTAAGGTTACAGACTGCATTAGGGTTAGGTTTACAGACAGCATTAGGGTTAGGATTACAGTATGCATTAGGATAAGGATTACACACAGCATTATGGTTAGTATCACAGACAGCATTATGGTTAGTATTACAGACATCATTAGTGTTACGGTTACAGACAGCATAAATGTAAGGGTTACAGATAACATTAGGGTTAGGGTTACAGACAGCATTAGGGTTAGGGTAACAGCCAGCATTAGAGTTAGGGTTACAGACAACATTAGGGTTAGAGATACAGACAACATTAGTTTGAGGTTTACAGACAGCATGAGGATTAGGGTTACAGACTGCATTTTGGTAAGGATTACACTCTGCGTTAAGGTTAGGATCACAGTCTGCATTAGGGTTAGGATTACAGACACCATTAGGGTTAAAGTTACGGACATCATTAGGGTTAGGAGTACAGTCTGCATAAGGGTTAGGGTTACAGACATTATAAGTGTTAAGGTTACTGATACCTTTAGTGTAAGGGTTACAGACAGTATTCAGATTAGGGTAACAGACAACATAAGGGTTAGGGTTACAGACAGCATTAGGGTTAGGGTTACAGACAGCATTATAGTTAGGATTACAGACAGCATTTGGGTGAGGATTACACTCTGCGTTAGGGTTAGGATCACAGTCTGCATTAGGGTTAGGATTACAGACACGATTAGGGTTAAAGTTACGGATATCATTAGGGTTAGGAGTACAGTCTGCATTAGAGTTAGGGTAACAGACACCATAAGTGTTAAGGTTACTGATACCATAAGTGTAAGGGTTACAGAGAGCATTCAGATTAGGGTAACAGACAGCATAAGGGTTAGGGTTACAGACAGCATTGTGGTTAATGTTAGAGTCTGCATTAGGTTTAGGATTCCAGACACCATTAGGATTAGGATTACAGACACGCTTGGTGTTAGCATTACAGACTCCATTAGGGTAAGGATTACAGATACCCTTAGGGTTACGATTACCTACATCATTAGGATTAGGATAACGGTCTTTTTTAGGATTAGGATTGCAGACAGTGTAAGTATTAGGATTACAGACACCATAAGGGGAGGAATACAGACACTATAAGGGGAGGAAAGCAGACAACATTAGGGATAGGATTACACACAACATAATGATAAGGATTGCAGACAGAATTAGGGAAAGGGTTACATACAACATTAGGTTTAGGGTTACAGACAACATTTAGATTAGGTTTACAGACAGCATTAGGGTTAGGATTACAGTCAGCATTAGGGTTAGGATAACAGACACAATTAGAGTTGGGTTACAGACAACATTAGGATAAGGGTTACAGACATCATCATGGTAAGGACTACATACACCCTTAGGGTTAGGGTTACAGACAGCATTCGGGTAGGGATTACAGACACCATTTGTATTGGATTACTGGCAGCATAAGGGGTAGGGTTTCAGAGAGCATTAGGGTTAAGGTTTCAGACAGCTTTAGGGTTAGGATTACAGACATCATTAGGGTTAGGATTACACACAGAAATATGTGTAGGATTACAAACAACATTATGGCTAGGGTAATAGTCTCTATTAGGGTTAGGGTAACAGACAGCATTAGGCTTGGGGTAACAGACAACATTAGGGTTAGGGTTACAAACATAATTAGAATTGATGATTACAAATAGCATTAGTGTTAGAATTAAAGTTTAGATAAAATAAGGATTAGGGTTGCAACCAGCTTTAGGATAATGGTTACATACACCATTAAGGTTAGGGTTACATACTGCATAAGGGTTAGGGTAACATACAGCCTAAGAGTTAGAATGACAGTCAGCGTAAGGGTTAGAATTAGAGATCCCATTAGGTAAAGGTTACAGACACCATAAGGGTTAATGTTACAGAAAGCATAAGGGTAAGGTTTACTGACAGCGTTAGGGTTAAGGTTACAGACTGCATTAGGGTTAGGTTTACAGACAGCATTAGGGTTAGGATTACAGTATGCATTAGGGTTAGGATTACAGACAGCATTATTGTTAGGATCACAGACAGTATTAAGGTTAGTATTACACACATCATTAATGTTAAGGTTACAGACAGCATAAATGTAAGGGTTACAGATAACATTAGGGATAGGGTTACAGACAGCATTACGGTTAGGGTAACAGCCAGCATTAGAGTTAGGGTTACAGACAACATTAGGGTTAGAGATACAGACAACATTAGTTTGAGGGTTACAGACTGTATTTTAGTAAGGATTACACTCTACGTTAGGGTTAGGATCACAGTCTGCATTAGGGTTAGGATTACAGACACAATTAGGGTTAAAGTTACGGACATCATTAGGGGTAGGAGTACAGTCTACATTAGGGTTAGGGTTACAGACATTATAAGTGTTAAGGTTACTGATACCTTTAGTGTAAGGGTTACAGACAGCATTCAGATTAGGGTAACAGACAACATATTAGTTAGGATTACAGACAGCATTTGGGTGAGGATTACACTCTGCGTTAGGGCTAGGATCACAGTCTGCATTAGGAGTTAGGATTACAGACACCATCAGGGTTAAAGTTACGGATATCATTAGGGTTAGGAGTACAGTCTGCCTTAGGGTTAGGGTTACAGACACCATAAGTGTTAAGGTTACTGATACCATTAGTGTAAGGGTTACAGACAGCATTCAGATTAGGGTAACAGACAACATAAGGGTTAGGGTTACAGACAGCATTAGGATAAGGGTTACAGACAGCATAATAGTTATGATTACAGACAGCATTAGGGTTAGTATTACAGACATCATAGTGTTAGGATTACAGACAGCATAAATGTTAGGGTTACAGACAACATTAGAGTTAGGGTAACAGACAGCATTAGGGTTAGGGTTACAGACAGCATTAGAGTTAGGGTAACAGACAGCATTAGGGTTAGGGTTACAGACAGCATTAGAGTTAGGATTACAGACAGAATTAGGAATAGGGTTACAGACAGCATTATAGTTAGGGTTACATACAGCATATGAGTTAAGGTTACATACAGCATTAAGGCTAGGGCTACAGACAACATTAGTTTGAGGGTTACAGACAGCATTAGGGTTAGTTTTACAGGCAGCATTTGGGTGAGGATTACACTCTGCGTTAGGGTTGGGATTACAGTCTGCATTAGGGTTAGGATTACAGTCTGCATTATGGTAAGGATTGCAGTCTGTATTAGGGTTAGGGTTTCGGACAACATTAGGACTAGGGTTACAAATAGACATTTGTGGAGACTAGGTCTATACCTAGGATTACACTTAGACTGACGATTACAGTTGACGAAATATAAGGGGTCATCTGAAAATGAAAAAAATATAGAGACTCATAGTAAAGTTGTTTTCCATAAAGTGTCAATGATGCGGAATGTCTGTTCGAATATATTTTGTCACCCACCTAAAACTGCAGAGAACCATGCATATGCTCTCCCAAAGAAACAGGGCATTTCTCTTTATGTTATATTTAAAATTGTGTCTTCATCATTTTAGTATAAACAAATCAGCAAAAATTTCGTTCAGAGGGTAATCTACAAATGGTGCACTTGAAAATCACGGGAAAAAAGCGATAATCAAGTTTCGAAATATAAACATTAAACCCAACGCAGCGCAGTGCTTTTGAAATACATTTGTATCAATGGCCTATGCTTTCGCGATTACACTTTTGTATCCGCCTTTGCTCCATAACCGAATGAAATAGTGCGTGATTTTTTTTAACAACTTCTTCTCGCCTGATTAACCTTTGCAACTTTGTTCTTTGAGAATAAACTTTGTTTTGAAATGAACACCGTCAAATAGGTGCACTATATATTGAACTTGTACCGGTCTCGAATCATGTTTCGGGCAGATCAGAACCCACCCATATTCATCTGCACCGTGAACAAAAACGTCCATACTCAAACAATTCACAAGATTTCTATAAAAATTGCACAAAAACAAACAACTAAAAACCTTGTCATTTTTTCCTTCGTCGCAGAAGGCGAAAACAGGTTTAGTAACCGCTCAACTCTGTCCGTCTGTCTGTCCGTTCATCTCTCAAAAGACTTTTGGGTAGAAAACTTTCCTCAAAGTTTTCTTGGTTTTTTGAAGGGAATCATTTTATGCTTCGTTATAATTAGTAATTATAAGTTGCAGCGTGTAAGTAATTTCTACATCTGCTGCATCCACCTCCTGTTTGGCGATATATATATAGTTTGACATTTTACAAAACTTCTACTGCAAGGAAAATTTTCGTCACGGTTTTCTTTGCTACATGGAAGGGATTGATTATTTATGCTTTTGAATCAGTATAATCAATTACACGCAGCGACGCAGGTACAGTCGTGGTATTGGTCTTGTTTAATTATAAAAGATAGATATTAAAATTCCAATTATTTGAGTTTACCTATTTCACTTTTTAACAGAGTCTGACGAATTGTTTACATTATATATTAGACACAAAGATATTGATTGATAACGGTGTTATGTTTTTTTCCAAAAGTTTCCCTAATTCAGAAAAAAATAAAAGATAATAAAAATTTAACGAACGGCAAGAACAATACCATGAAGAATAAATATGTCTTAAACACCCAACCGCTGATCCCCTCATTCTCTTAAGCAAGGGAAAATGTATGTCTATACATAAACATTAAATATTGTCAACATGCTTCTTAGTTGATCGCCTTTTCTTAACATCTTGCTGAAATAAATTTCCAATTGTCTAAACCTAGCCAAAACAATTGCGATTTTTTTGTGTCTCTTGTAAAATTTATTAAATGATGTTTTACCATTCTATAAAACTCTGTACATATGCATCATGTCTAACCTTGATAACACCATGTAAAATAATTAATGTATACACATTATTAAATACATTTTTTTAAAACTCCGTTGTTCAACTATAGAAAAACTTCATAGAATTTTGACTTTGTTTTTGAACGACATATTATAGTTACACTTTGAAACGACCAAAGATTTAAATGCTACCTGTAGATGTAATTGTAATCCTAATCGTAGGTGTGTGACAGCTTTCACAAATGTCTATTACCATTAGTGTTAGGATTACAGTCTGCATTAGGGTTAGGGTTACAGACTTCACAAGTGTTAGAGTTACAGACAGTTTTAGGATTAGGGTAACAGACAACATAAGGGTTAGGGTTACAGACAGCATTATAGTTAGGGTTACAGGCAACATTAGGATAAGGGTTACAGACAGCATTAGAATTAGGGTTTCAGACAGAATTAAGGTTAGGGTTACGCAGGTGGTTTGAGGCCGGTCCAAATTGTACTTCCGTAAAAATTCTGTCAAATTTCTATTTCTTCTAAATATTGCTGGAAATCGTATATTTGTACATTCGAGGCGATCATATATGGGTGATATCTATTAAATAGATTGTAAGATTTCTTATTTTTTTCTACTTTCACTTTTATGGGAATTTCCCCATGGTTGTCACGTGACTTATTTGATATAAATACATCTCTGCACCTTTATATGATTTGCACAACCTTTTATCATCATATTTATACAGTAAATTTTGGATGAACTTCCCTTTATATATTTTTAGGAAATTGCTGGCGATAACAGTACTGACAGCGTGAATGAATGTAAAAACAAATGCTCCCACTTTTAAGGATGCTAGTGTATTATGACAAAACGTGACAACCAAGCGCCAGTTGTGTCGCAATTGTTCAATTAATTCTGAAAAGATTGATTATTTATACAAGTATAGAAGTTTCCGATAAAACGTTGTACAGATTGAAATACAAAACTGGATAACATTTCCGACAAGGTCGTCATTGTTTATATACGCTCTAGTGATCCAGGGGAAAAACCAAAGGAAAATAATCGATAATAAAGTATTCCTAGCGCAATTTTTCAAATTGTATTGACTATTTACCAGTACATTTTTCTCACTTATCAGTGTTCAATAAATGTATATGAAATGAAAACGTGCATTATTGTAGCTTATTTAAGAATTGAATGCTTCTTTTTGTAAATTCATTGGGGTGTAAAAACGTTGACCGAAGTACATATTGTATGAAGCGCGGAAGCGCTTATTTATAAAAATGTACGCACGGTCAACGCTTTTACAACCCTATGAAATTACTAAAAGAAGCATTCAATAATTTTAATTACATTTTGTTTGCTATGATCATGAAAACACGATTATTATTAATTTTTTCTTTTTATTTACCTGTGCACTTTATTGTAAAAACGTGTGTCATCATGTATGTTTCAATTCATGAAATTCATTTTGAAATGAAGAATGACGCGAGATTGTTGTAAGCCAACCAAAATAACGTATAATAATGAAACATATATCTAATGTAATTATTGTTAATTACAAGCACTGATATGAATAGAAAATAAAAAGGGGGAGGGAGCAGTTCTTTTGTTAATCGAAAGTATTTTGTACATCTCAGCATACTGTACACAGCATACACTAGTTTAACTTACCTAATTAAAAACCATCACTTTTTTTTAATTTCCAAACAAGAAGGAAACTAGGCATTTGCTCTTCAAGTACATCATTGTCCATGTCTTTGTCCATTGAAGGATCCCATGGATTGATCGCATGGTAACATAAGTGTAAAAAAAAACTCCTTACAATTATAAATGCAATGTTTTTCCATTTTCGTTATCATGTTTTTTTTTTAATTTAAATTCATCAGTTATGTATAGATAGGTGCAGTCCTAACCTGTACAGCAAGTTAACTTGATAACCAGTCTTTTGGACTGGTCAAAGTTAACCTGTGACAGTATTTAGGACTGCTCTGACCAGTCCTAGGACCACAATCTAGTTAACTTGAAAAGCGGACTTGGTCCTAGGACTGTTTTTATGTCTGCCGAAAAAGTTAACTTGGAAACATGTCCGCTATTGATATAAGTTAACTTCGAAACCAGTTCTGTCATAAGTTAACACAAGTTAACTTTCATTTTGACAACTCCGATCGAACCAGACCTGATATCAAGTTAACTTTTGACCTGGTCTGCTCAACACTAAGTTAACTTGTAACCAGGACCGCTCTACGATTTTTTTAAATATGTTTTAATGTCTTTGTTTCTTGGTATAAACATAAACAAATAAAGTCAATTTAATACTTCCGTGATACTGAGACTACTGTAACACATGTGTTATAGTAGCCTCAGCGTGATATAAACATGATTAAATACATGTAGCTCCGTGTTGAAGACCGTACTTTGACCTATAATGGATTACTTTTATAAATTTTGACTTGGATGGAGAGTTGTCTCATTTGCACTCATACCACATCTTCTTATATCTATTTGTAAATAAAGTACGCATAAAACTTTGCTTGTTTATATACAAATTTATCCGTGATCTGCCTTTCTATATATTAAAAAAACGATAATGGTTACAATGCTAACGAGCTGAATATATATTCCATTACATATCAAATTCTTTAAATCGTATTAACCATATTTGCACTTTACAATTTAAATCTATATAGCCGCACAGTGAATCAGATATATTTTTATGTCGGGATAGAACACAATCACTACAAAATTTTACCATCATAAATGTAGAGTGCCA